GAGGGAGGATATGGGGTTGGTTGGATCTCTACTGGTTTGTGCTCTTTCCTGTTCCTTGGCCTGTTGGATTCAAGAGCATTGCGTTTCCACACCAGGGTGTAAGAATTCTTCCTCTTCCTCCTTTTACAACTTTATCTGTCTATGAAATCCAAGAGAATTAGCCCTCTTTCTATTTTGGAATATTGGTTTTTCTCTAATCAAGATTGTAGGAGATATTGACGTCTTATTGAAAGTCTGTTTTGAGCTGTTAAACCCATAATTTCTTCCAATATCTATGAACCGTAATATGTTGGGATTGTGCTCGAGCAGCTCAGATTTATTTGGCATGTGGCATTCGTTGGAAGTATTCAAACTCTTTCTCTAAAACGTCTCATCTCATGATTGGAGGGCAATAATTTCCTTGAATGATTAATATAGGATCAAGGCAATAAAGTTTAGCCTGTGTTATTTTTATGCTTGGAAAGAAGTTTTTTTATGGTTTATCTTTATATGCGTATTTGTTGTTGATCAAATTGTTATGATTTTTAAAGCCCAAAATTGTTATTCTTTACCTGATTGAGTCGAGCTGGTGATTTTTTTTTTATTTTTCTTGGTTTCCCTTTGGATTATTTCGACCCCTTTTGTTGGTGGCTCATGGTTCACGCTTTAGTTGCTAAGGATAGTAATTACATTCCTTTGAGATTTTTTTTTTTGTTTTTTTTTTCCACGGCTGCCATTTACAGCCCTTTCTGGGCGCTTGTGTATCCTTTTCTCACCATTATGAGTTGTCAGGAAATGACTTTTAATGTGACGCGCCTATTTTTATTGTGTTGTTGGATATGCCTTGGGTCTTTTTATACTTTTGGGTGTCCCCTGCTGCTCTTTGCGATATCCAAGGATACTATGTGATTTGGTTTGTTTTCTCTGGTAGCCTATGGTTTCCTTTGGTGGTATTTTGAGGAGAGATATTTCTTTTACTGATTATTTTCCGTTTCTTGGAATATGATGTTGTGCTCTTAACCAATCCAAGCGACATTTGAGCAATTTGTCATCATCTGTTAATAGCTTTATCCCATTCATTTTGAACCCTTTTTTATGAGTAAGATATACTTTAGCAAATATGTTATTTTTGTTTTATCGTTTCTTTCTTAATTAATTCTATGCAAGATTTACATAATATATACATACCACTTAATTCCTTTGTACAAACTTTAATTTTTACATACATGTCACCCAATTCTGAAATGTTTACATTTAGAACACCTAACTTACAGCATTTACATACATACCACCCAATTTATATATAACTAAATATAAAACATAGGCTTTTATATTTACAATTTCAATCCAGTTCTAATATCTATTTACGTATCTACCACCCAATTCTTATATATATTTACGTTTCTAACATCTATACAAATATACTTGTATACTCACCATCTAATGCATATGTATTTATATATATGAATATATATAAATTTAGGTTGCTGTAGTAATTGATATCGAAGGTTGTCGAGGGCTTAAAGGCAGACTATGAGGCTTGCTTGTGGGGCACTTTAAAATATAGGTTTTTGGAAGTTATGAAAAAAAAAATATATGTAAGATGTTTATTTATATCTGCAGCATATCTATATATCTTGGATATTTATGTGTTTGGGAGCTGAAGTTGGAGTCCACTGCTCTTTCAGTTGTTGGATTCTTGCTTGAGATTGGGTTTTAATTGCTGAATAAAATTTCATTTGCTGAAGATTGGAGTCTGCGGTTAAGCTTGCTTTGAATTATTGGATTCATTCTTTATCATTGTTGGATTTACTCTTTGTTTGCTGGAATGAGGAGTAGATGGTTCCCTTTGTATCAAGCATACACTCTTATCTTGCAATTTTATGTATAAAATGCTTTGATATGGTTGAGTATTTAATCGAGCACCTGCATCACTATCCTTTTGCTAGATGTGCCTAAGGGCTTTATATTATTCGTTACATAAGAGTTTTGTTTTGAGCTTATTCTATATTCTTCAATTCTTCTTGTATTTGGCTCTCATTAGCATATGGGATATTTACTTGGATACAATTAAGGTTTGAGTTTAAAGATGAAGCATTGAGCATTTATTTATCAATAAACAGTTCATTTGACAATGCAAAGCCAATACAGACTGCAATTATGGCTAACTTGTAAAAAATAACACATATATAAAGGCTCATATAGTTGCTTGGGGAGGTACAAAAGTGGAAAAATAAATGGAAAATATGAAATTTGACCGTTTCATTTGCGGAAATTCTGAAATTTTGATGAGTTGGCTTTATGCAATATCTGAAATTATGCAAGTTGCTTTATACAAGTTAGCAGTTTTTCGGGGTTATTTTTGTGGTTTATATGGCTGCAGTTTTTGGGTCTGCTTAGAGCTTATTTGTTTTGTGGTTTTGATTCTCATGGTGGCTCATTCGACAGTTTTTTTGAAGCGCCTCATGGCTGTTATGAATGGAGTTTTGGGACTGTCTCTGATTTATTTGGCTACGGTTTTTAGCACCGTTTTTAGACTGTTTTAGCGCTACTTTGAGGAAATGTTAAGTACAGATTTTGAGCCTTTAGGCACTGTTTTGGGCTGATTACACGCTTCTTTTGGGGGCTTTTAAATTGCTGTTTTTGAGCCTTATGAATCACTCTTTAGGGTGCCTCCTTTGCTGTTTTGTGCACCACTTTAGTGTTGTTTTTGGAGGGGCTTCGGGGCTGTCCTTGGTCAACTTCCTCAGTGATTTGGGCACCGCTTTTGTGGCATTTCAGTGGGCTGGCTTGAAGTAACCGATACGTGTTTTTAAGGCTTTCTTGTGTGTTCTTTTGGAGACTTAAAAATATGTTTTGAGGGATTTTGTTTGCTGTTTTGGAAAAGTGAAAACTCTGCTTTGGGAGAATTTAAGCACCCTTAGGCCAAGCTACCTGCTATTTTGCCTCTTTTTTCACCGATTTCGGAGGCAGGTTGGTCTTTTTTTCCTTTTTTTCATTTATTTCTTTTCAATTTTCTTTTTTTGCTTCTTGGCTTGATTTAGGTGCTTATGTCCGAGACATAAGCACGCATATATAGCTTTGGTTATATATGAACCACCAAGCAAGATCGTAATTTAGACGATTTTGGGGTTTATTGGCTATGATGAAGGTGCTTATGTGTGCTACTATACACTAGCTTTTGGTAGGAGGATGCCCTGACTTTCTCTTATCGGTTGCTATAGCTCGAGTGAGACGGTTAAATGGTGGATTGCTTGATCTTCAAACATAAATGAAAAAAAAAAAAATGTATTTCCTAGCAAAAATGTTAATTTTGAATGTTCAATATTGCATAAAAAATTAAAGAAATTTGGATAAGATACTGCGAGAGTCTACCTGTTAATCGCCTTAGTCGCGACAAGGATTTGCCCTCCTTAGACTATCTGGCTGGTGCCCTCCATCCAAAGTTGGATTGTAAAGCGCATAGCTCAGCTCTGAGTCCACTTCGGTCTGAAAGCTTACGGGTTTTCTTCGAGTTATTTTTTTTATGAGCTCTTACGATTTCTCTTGAGCTTTCACGAGCTTTTTACGATTTTCTTCAAGTTTCCACGTACTACCTGGTTGCCTATCCTTTTTTCTTACACATGCATATGTCCTAACTATTTACTTTTATATGCAAAGCTGATCCTTCTTGCAAAGCGACAGGAATTTCAGGCACGCACATTTAGTTAATTTTTAAATTTTACCGTTTCCTTTTTACCCCACTTTACTGCATAAACGTATAGTTCATGCTTGCGATGTTACTGTTTATTGTTTACTGCGCTTCATAACATGTTTCCTTCTTATCATTCATGCTACTTCTATAGACTTGAAGGGGCCCTTAGGATAGAGGACAGTAGGACAATTGGTTTAGGAGGCACCCTATGGCGAGCCACTGGCCCAACAACTACATATACACACAAAACCCTAAATCTATGACGTATACTTTAAGAAGCTCGGAATAGCCTTTCCAGGACATGGAACGAGGAAGCAAGCGAACGAAGGGCGGCAATCAAAACAGGACAACAAAATAAAATCTTTTTTTTTTTTAAAGTAAACAATCTCCTTAGTTTAAATAACAACAAATCCGTAGGACATCGAGTTAGTCTGTCTAGAGCGCCATAAATTCTCCCCTCATATTTTAAGACTCTACACAATCATGTTGTGCAGCGTAAGTCCTAACCTTTTAAGATTCCGAGGTTGTCGTTTGGTACAGCATAAATCCTCTTATCTCCATAAGCTATTTGCACGATCAGACAATTATGTGAATGTAAGCCCTAAATAATAAATATCGACAAGAATGAACATTAAATAACTTCACCTCCAAAATATAAAGCCAAACAATAGGATGGTTGAGAAGTCATCGGGGTTTTACTCGGATCTGTGACCTCCCTTACCTTTCATTCTTTTCTCCTGAAAATTTTTCCAACTTGAGCTAGTTCTTTTTGACTTTCATGGGTTCTGCCTTGAAAACCTCAACTTTGAAATATTCAAGATAGAACCATTGATCTTAATTGAGAGTTTTTTTAAGTGACCTCGGTCATTTAAGATATAGTTAACTATTAGGTAAGGGAACTTGTCAATCATACATAAAAGGTTTTGCATGTCAAACGGATGTCACAAACTCTTTAGTTTAGGTTGTTAAGCCTACTAACAAGTGGTATGCTTATTCTTTGGGATACTGTATTACTTGTGGTATCGTGCTCAACCATTCAAACTATCAAAATATGTGAGAACCGTCGGTCTTTCACTTTTCAAAATTAAAATATTATTTTCTAAATTATAATTATATATATTAAGTTAAATTTAATTGATTTCCAAAATTCTGAATGACAATATACTGTTGATGATATGAAATAATCAAACCATATGGAAAAAATACATAATTTTCTGGAAACAACGAAACAATACATTGAGTTAGTTTAAATTGGTTCTTAATTATATATGAGTGAGTTATGAATTAAAGTAAATTACAAAATAATCTGTAAGCAGTCTTTCTACAGGTTACAGTTGCAGGTTCCCAAGGTCATGCAGGCACTGTTCCAATGTTTATGCGCCGTGATCCGATGGTTGCTGCTTCTGAGCTAATTGTCCTTTTGGAGTCGCTTTGCAAGCATCCCCAAAATTTCTTGCCATATGATGAGCAATGTGCGGGGGTTCCAACAGAATCCTATGCAGCCTTGGTCTGCACAGTTGGTGAAATATCTTGTTGGCCAAGTGCAAGCAATGTCATTCCTGGCCAGGCAAATTTCTACGCCCTACTCGAGAGTTAAATTTCGTTTTTGTTAGTTTCCACACAACAAATTTATGCTAATGTTCATTAAAGGAAAAACATTTCAGGTATATTTTACTGTAGATATACGTGCCATGGATGACACAACCAGGGAAGCTATAGTACTTGAATTCTCTGAGAGAGTTAAAGAAAAATGTCATAGTAGGATGGTGAATTGTACAATTGAGCACAAGGTTTGGAAACCTCTCTTTCTCAACCTTCATTGCATTTCTATTAAAATATGGCCATTAAAGTTAAAATTTTCAGCACAAAGCTAAAGCGGCAAGCTGTGATAAAGAATTGAGTTTGCAGCTACAGCTAGCAGTCCGTTCCACTGTGAGCGGAACCCCATGGAGCATTCAGGAAGATGTGCCTGCACTAATGAGCGGTGCAGGGCATGATGCAATGGCCATGTCTCATTTAACTAGGGTGGTTGATTTATAATCTCTAGCCCTATAAATTTGTTCAAGTGCTCTTCTACGTATAATCTTATAGTGTTTTTATTCAATCAGGTGGGCATGCTTTTCGTGCGCTGTCGTGGTGGTGTCAGCCATTCCCCTGATGAACATGTATCAGATGATGATATTTGGGCAGCTAGTTTGGCTCTTCTCCAGTTCCTAGAGAAAAATGTTTATTATCAATGATGAAATGCCCAAGAAAGAAATTTCATGTTCAGGCAAGTAATGTTGCCTTTAGTATTTGATTTTGTTGTTGTTTCCAGAAACACATTGTCACTAAACCAATTTGCATATAAAGAAATTATGCAATTTTCTTTGAGATGTAGTATCTGTGACTACGCTAATTCCCATTTCTCTATAGAAAGATTTATAAGCTTCTGAAAATCTCCCAACGAATAAAGAATGAAATAAAAACTTTTCAAGATAAAGCCATTGGATCAATGAGATGGGCTCTGAGATGGAGAGGATGGAATTAAGATGTGTATCACCAACTGAACAATTTGCTAAACCTTAATTTGTCTGTCTTAGTTGCATGCTCTTGGCCAAGAAGAAATTATAAAACTGGCCGACCTTATTCAACTTATACTCTACCTAAATTGTCTTAAAACTCATTCATAGCGTTATTTATGGTTATTATACCACTCCAGCTAAACGCAAACATTAAATCCAATGTCTCATCAAATTGGTATTCAAACCAAAACCCTGGAGAAGAAGACAACTCGTTGGTGGGACAATTGCACATGGAAAGTATTTTCATTTGGATAGGGTTAAATAGGTAATATTATTTTTTACTTATATCTTCTTCATGAATGGTAGGTTTGCTTTACATATTGCCAATGTCATGAAAATAATGTAATTAGTCTAATAGTTGGCCCTATATCATAGCCTTGCAATTTTCTTAATCTACCATTAGAATATTTCTTTGATTCAAAATTTAGTTTGTAAGTTTTATAATATTATTTAGGCTTTTCATCTGAGATTGACCATTTACATAAAACCCCAGATTATATTCTCTAGCTTGAATATGTTACTTTGTCAGAATGGCTCTATTAAATTAACTGATTTTAAATTGCTTCTTAAATTTTTTTGTAGTCCAACCATAAAAATTATTTTAATGTGATTTGTGCGATGTAGAACCTCATAATATAACAACCACACATCTTGCATCGTTTGCACATATTTCTCGCATAAACATAATGTAAACCGGAATAGCAGATAAATTAAATGCTAGGATAAATGATCATGGTGGTATGTCAAAGCAAGTGCAAAATTCATTTGAGATAATTAATACTAAAATGCAAACTTGGCTCAAAACCATGATGGCACAAATTAAACAAATAAACGTTAGGTAACATCACCAAACCTTTCCTTTTGGAAATAATCTTTTTGTGGAGAACCATCATGTTAGAGCAAATCAAAGGAATGAAAATAACATTATGTGAGAAAATCAACAAATAAATGAAGTTGAAATTGACTTGTAACTTTCTTGGAGAAGTCCTTGTATTTGTGAGAACCCTTGAAAAAGAAAACTCTATTTCCTTGGATGCATAAAAGAATGGAAGGACTTGCATCATTATATGGACGTTAAGATGAACATCTTTCCTAAGCTGCAGCCATCGTTGCCCCCAAATCCTAAGCTGCTATCAGTGAAACTCATATAATAGTGGATAATAGAAGAAAGAAGTCCTCTACTTACAATCAAGCCTAAGACTTTATCTTTTGGATGTTCTAGTAAAATTAACTCCCTAATATTGAAATGCTTTTTTAAGAATAAATACTTGAATGCATGAAAAGGGAAATTTTATACTATAATCGTGCCTGAGACTTTGATATGATTGATTTTTTTCATAATTATAGTAACTGTTGTCACCTAAGATGGAATATTTTTTCACAGTTGGTGTCAAACAGTTACAAGAAGAATTACAAGCTACAATGAGAGATTAGTATTTTGACTTTATACGAAGATACAATAAACAAATAAAAAAAAAAGAATTGCTGGGGATTTTTGTTAGAAACGTGAAAAGGATAAATCATGGACTCATCCTAATTATAGTAGATATAAGTTGTGTAAGATGAGTTTTATTATTGAAGTTAGATGGCCTTAGCGGCATTAGAGTTATTTTTCAAGAGATCATTTATGGTATATTTATTTGTTCTTTTTTAAAGAGATAAGTCAAGAGATAGAGAAGCCTAATTAAGGGTCTGTTTGGGGCAACTGCAACTTATCCAGTTTATCCTGATAAGCTGCTTATCCTGAGAATCTGGTGATAAACAGCTAATCCGGATAATTTGTTTATCTGTTTGGTTTGTGCGTTTTGAGAAAAACTGATTTTGAATAAATGATCAAAGTGCCCCTGTTCTGAATAAACTGCAGTTGTTTGTTTTGTGCTTTTTATAAACAGCTTATTTGAAATTTTTTTTACAAATTTACTAACACTCTTAACGCAATCATAAAGAGGAGAATGGGAAGATTGAAAAACAAATGTGAAAATACAAAATATTTATATCACTCAAATATTTCAGATCACATCAGAAATACAAAATTACCTAAACAAATGTGAAATACACCATAACACACTAGTATATACCGTAATGAGACCCAACAAAGAAGAAAAAATAACATGTCAAAATCACAAGGAAAAAATAATGATATTGACTTTAACATGTAGCAGCATATCGAGTCCCATTGTGCCCTACTCTAACACTCCAGAACCCTGAGCAAACCTGTCCGACTTGGATACAATAGAAATGGAAGCAGTCGAACCAGATGTGGAGTTCTAAAATGTTGATATCAACGAACTCCGAGCCGGGGTGTACATCTGGGATATCATAGAAACAGACTCCCTGTCGGCCCACCTGAAAAAGTTGCAGTCCTCCTGTCGTTTTGCCCACCGCAGGCCACCGCAGGCTCTTGTAAAATTGCCTCCCGTAGCTATGTAGCTGGCGTGACGTGAGCAGCAAGGACTGTAGACCGCACCTACACATCACTTTCTCAGACTTCCCTGAATATCTGGAAATTATCTTCTTGCAGTTATTAAAAATAGACTAGATCATTGAAAAATTTGATGAACTATAGAAAATATACTTATCGCAGTATGGAGACAGCAGTTGCCGACATCAAATTTATGTGGTCATCCAAACTACTCCATATTTAGCTCAATAAAAAATAAGTTCCTTTAAGCATTCTTACAGCTTACAGGGATTTGTATGTTCAGCTTCCAAATCTAACTGCAGCTCTATAAATGTAATGAATAAACAACCACATTCTTACAGTTTAACAATCTGCATAAAATTTTTTGATGACTTGTATGTTTGCAGATTACAAGGAGTAGTAATCCAGATATGTAAAACCATTGTATCGAAATATAACTGCAGCAGCTGAAAATATAACCAATGAAGTAATAAACTGAGACATTGTAACCATAAAGCAAATAACAAAATCGAGATAAATATAACTGCAGGTGTTTGTGCCGACATTAAAAACAGATAATAAAAATGATGGTATTTATAATATATGTAACTGCATTCAAAACTTTAAGGACATACAAAATGCTCACAAGACATTGTAACCATAAAGCAGTGGTTGCCCTTAAATACAAGGGCCATCCAAGCTGCCACATCTATATATAAATGCCCAGCTATTTAAAGCCCCTTAAGTTTATATATTCTGCAGAAGCATGGAAATGTACATACACAGCAGCTCTATACACCACACCCAATTCTCAAATTGTAGCTCTATACACATTCTAAACTCACTCATTAAGCATTTAAAAACTGCAGCTCTTTAAGCATTTAAAAACAGCTCTTTAATAAGCATTCCAAAACATATCATTAGTATATAACTGCAGCTCATCATTCTAAATGCATAAATGTATACTCCATAAGCATTTAAAAGTAGCTCAACAAAAAAACTATTATAGAAAAGAAAAATTCTATAGTTGAGTTCAATTAGGAGTTGCATATAGCATTCATGATACACTCTCTTAAGGCAACCATCTCTGCTGTACCTTCACCTTTCTGGGTCTCAAATTCATGGGTTCCTATAACTTCTTCAAGAATAGATTGATCAATCTGGTATGCAAATTCTTCAGTAGGGATATTCATCTCGTCGGCATCAGCCATATTGAAGTCTGTGTCTGATCTAGATGGATGTCTTCTAATAAAATTGTGGAGCGCCATCATGGCCACTACAATATGAACTTGTTTTGAAAAAGGGTATGTAGGCATATCGCAGAATGACCTATTTTTTTCCACACCAAATGTTCTTTAGATAACGCCGCACAGGGATGAGTGATGTTTATTAAAAATTTCCTTTCTACCACGAGCAATGTCGCTTGATCTCTCAAAATCAGGAATGTGATATTTGGTGTCAGGAAATGGCTTCAAATAACCTCTCTGTAAGGGATAATTGACATCCACTAAATAATATTTGCCTGTCAGGGAAGCGTTAATTTTCTTTAGTGAGCAGTACAAATTTAAACTAGTAGGTTCAACAAAAATATGCCAACCTGGAGGTGGGTGGGGGAAGCCTTCTCTGACTTTCCTTGTTGCATACGTAAAAAAGGCGACCGTCATGAGCACTACCTTCCCATCCAACCATCCTTCCCATCCAACCATCACAAAAATCACAAAAGTAAAACACATGTTAAATTCACAAACGACCATAACATTTTGGGTTGGAGAACCACAACGCCGATGTAAGCCACTTTCTCATCATGCAGGAGTCATGCATTCACGTGTGTATGATACATCGAAAATATATGCATTTTTAGACTCATATTTTATACTTATTTTTGGTGATATTGCACTTTAATGGAAGGTATTTTCATATTTTCTTGCAAGTTGTTAATTTTTAGGACTTAAAGCAAAATGATGAAATTTGGAGTCAAAATGACGTTTTTGAAGAAGTACTCAGCGTCAACCGCGCCAAGGGCAGCGCCGACGGCGCAGAACAACAGAACAACTGAAATTTTTACTCAGCGCCAACGATGCCAAAGGCCGTTCAACCCCCGTTTCTAGAAGGTTTGATATATTTGGACGATTTTTGAGGAGTTTTTGGAGACACCTCTTGGAGAACCGACCTTGGACTTTATTTGGGGCCGAAATTTGTCAGGAAAGGGACCCCTTTTCGCTCCAAAACGTTCCACCACGCTCCATTTTTTGTCATTCTTCATAATCTATCTTAATTCCACCATCATATTGGAGTCCATTAGTCATTTTTCTTTTATATTTTAGAGTTTGTGTGATGAGATTTAGTGTGAAATTTTCTGTAAGAGTGTTGGAGAAAGAGAAAAGTGAGAGATATCTTCTTCCTACATTTCTAAGAAAAGGCTACAAGAGATTT